TTTTCTTTTCATCTAAATATTCGACGAGTCGGTTTAACTTACAGTTTATTATTTACAAAGATACAAAAACTAAAAAGATGATACTATACGAATCAAATATTATGAATTGAAGTAGTTTCAGAGTGGTGGGAATCTTCAAGGGAACCTCTGTTTAAGGGAGCTGATGATCAACTAACTCTTTTCCCTTCCTTTCGCTCCACCCTGGGCTCTCATTTAACCCTAGTTCCCCGGGAGCTAGGCGGCTAGTTCCCCGGGAGCTAGGCGGCTAGCCCCCCAGCCCCCGTGCCTCTGGAATAACGGAACTTTCAGCTTGGCTTGGGTTATTTATAGAATTCACATGCAAACTCAAATAAATCCGTTAGGATTCAAAATAGGATTCAAAAGTCCAACCGAAGGGTATAAAGGGGGGGGGGGTTATGCCCCTAGCCAGCTATGATCTCAGCGATCTACAACGATCCTTGAATCGCTGATCGTAAAAGATCAACAAAATCACCCATTGCTACAGTACCCTTAAAATCCTTGTCTGGTCAGTTATGAATAAATTAGATATCGATATTAATCAATTTGAAAACTGAGTATTTTCTATTACGGGTTCTCTTCTAATGGGACTAGTGATTTCTACTGAGGAAAACATATATATAGGAATTAAAACTTTTTACAACCTAGAAAACCGACAATATCTTCCTTATCATTGATAATATAAAGGTTTCAATGATCCATCAATTCTAAACGTATTATTTTTGGAAATTAAAATTATTTATGAAAAATGTCCGTTTAAATGAGACTAACAAAAAAAAGACACATTTTTGTGACTTAAAACAAGATTTTACGTATTAATTAACGAAAGGATGATATATACAAAAAATAATGTAAGAATTGTTTGATAATTTAATACATACAAATATGAAATGATACTGTTTCCAAAATATTTATTGCTTTCCTTATCTTTTTAATAACATTAAAAATTTAATTTCGCGAAAAAAAATTCCGCGAAAAAATACTTGTGGAATTCTCTGCTCTGAGAGCTTAGCATTATATAAATATTTAATGAAAAATTCGCAAATTGTTTTCTCACGAAAGTTTGCATTTGTTGTCTCATGAAATTTTTTCGAAAAACAGATCAAAGCGAAAATTCGCGATCGACTTAACTTGAGTTGGTCTCACTTGTCCTCCTATTCCACAGCTGAATGAATATTACTGTAAAATTATTACGTAAGGCTGAATAGCTAATATCTACCCTGGACCTGGGGTCTCACAATTAAGATATCCGTCAATCTTTTTCATACGAAATGGAAAAAATATTTTATTTTTAATTTTTATAGAAAAGTTGTTTCGATATTGAACGAAAATGTTCGCGAAAATTAACAAAATTTTCGTGAAAATGAGGTAGAACATTTCTTCAAAATACATCGAATATTTAGTAGAAACCCCCACTCTAAATTAAAAAGTCGTAATTAAGCGATAAATGATCGCCTAATCGGGTGAAAAAGTAGGATGGCGCCCTATTAGGCGACATAAAATCGCTTAACATAACTCGCTTGTTTAAAAAAAATCGCTTTGTTTCTTTAAAAAAATCGCTTAAATTGCAGAAGAAGTTGGTGACTGACAAATAAGCGACACAAAATCGTTTATTTTCAACAAAAAAGTCGCTTATTTTTTTTACACAAAAGACGCTTATTTTTAACGAAATTGCCTATTTTCAAAAAAATCGTTTTAATTTAACCAAAAAATCTCTTAAATTCAACAAAGAACTCGCTTATTTTCAACAAAAAATTGTTTATATTCAACAAAAAAAATCAGTTATTTAGACAAAATGTTTAATTTTTTTCGTGTACACTTTACAGAATATAAAGAATTGTACCGTAATTTGTTTAATTTTTCAACCTGTTTAGTTTAAAAGTTATTGAAAAATTTGAAAGTTTATAATATAGTCAACACTAAAATCGTTTACATTAAGAATCCCTATCTCTGCTGGGGTACTTGAAACCAGGATATGCAGGGGGGGGGGGGGGT